TTATTTTACCTATATATATGTAGTTTATTGGATTTTAGCGGCCATTTTGAAAAAAGCGCCATCACGCGAAAGTTCTCAGGTTACGCCCCTTTTACCTCACATATTCTGATTCCCCATAAAAAACTGGTCTAGAAAAACCATATGAGAATTTCTACCTCTCCAAGTGGCACCTATCTCAATTATAGCCTGCTCTACGTGACTTACACCGGCCATGTTGTCACCAAAACAAAACAACGCGATAGGGCGGGTAGGAGTTAGCAGTTATTATAGATGATTAATGCTATAATTATAATGTGAAATACCGTTATGTTGGGTTTGGGGTTGCTGCAATCGATCCAACAAAGAAACAAAAATGTATTAATTTCTTTAAATTTCTAAAAGGAGGAAGATTTGGGATTTTATTTTAACTTTGCATGGCGATCGAAAAATCTCGCTATCCACGTAGTAAATTATAATAAGGCATGTACCGCCGCTCGCCCCACTTAGCGGTAATATATATCCACCTAATACTACTAGGCCTAGACAGGTCTAAATTTCGGTACTTCTTCGGCCGAACACCTTAAGGTAGTACTTAAATCGGCTTAATTACGATGATAATAAAAATAAAGGAAGGATTTTCAAGCAGCAATGATTTATAAAAAGGTGCAATGTTGCACTTTGCTGTTAAATTATATAACTACATTAAGAATCAGTCAAAGGTAGCTTAAATTATAATTAAAAATACAAATCAATTAATTGTGCAACTAAAGATTTTAAAGATAAAAATATATTTTAAAGATATAGGCCTAATTGTATTATAATATATTGATTGTTTTAATACATATTTTAAATCAAAACGTTTAAATGTTTTACAAATTACAAATCAAAATTTCAATAAATAATAATAATAATAATAAAATAATAATACAGAAATAATAATAATATTATAACTCACTAATATTATAAACAGAAGTCTGGAGAATGCTGCTATTTTACTTACAAGGCCTAGCTTCTTGATTATGAATGATTAGGCATATGTTGTACAAAAATTTCTTTTAATGCAATAATTCTTCAACTTTGATTTATTGTTTAGATTACAATTTACAAATAGGCCTAGGCTAATGTATTGATTTGAAGAGGATGACCAACATATTATTTCTTAAATTAAAGTTTACGAAGTCATAGGCCTAAAGGCCTAGATACAATTATAAAACTTTCATGTTATTGATATTTTTATCATTCATTTACAGGCGAAATTAACATATTATCGCCGACGATTCACAAACCTACTCTGTCTGCACAACCAACCTTTCTCTTCTGCAGTGTTGACTCTTAGGAGCCTCATGCTATATAGAGGAGGCTGAAGGTATATTAGGCCTAGGCCTAGAATAGATGATAGACTTTCAAAACAAAAAAATAATCGTAACGAAAAAAAAAAAAAAAAGAATCGTCCTCACTTTATCTTCTCGAAATAATACAGCACGTCACTGATTAATTAATTCCAAAGTTAGGTAATGATTATATATATGATATTTACAATGATATGTTAAAAAAATCCCATAATTGAATTGTCCTCATGAACAGAATAATGAAAGAAAGTTTATGCAGCATCAGTGTTTTATAAAATGTTATAAAGCTATACGCGCGCACGCTGTTTGGTGACAACATGGCGCCCATGCGCAAAGTTGGCCAAACTCTCTCTATCTACGGCTCTGCAGCCGGTTACTATACAATGTCGTAACGCATAAGGCTCTTGGGTGCGAACTCAAGAGCCCGTAGTATAAAGAGGCACCTTGAGGCATTATTTTTCCCCATACAGTTAAGGTAGAATTTATAGAGGGGGCTATTTTAGGTTACTGTAGTTAGGTGAACTGATAAAATGAATACTCATTGAATGCATGCCTCACACCCCCTCCCCTTCCCCGTGAAAGCAGTGTTGTGGTACATATCGAGTAAGTGCTTATGCGTTGATAAAAGTTTGATGTATGAGGCAAAAATATCGACAGTGGGAAAAATAATGGACTGTATTGTAATAATATCCCTATGACTAAGCACATTTTGTGTACAGCATGGTCTTTGATAGTATAAAAAAGCACCCCCCTCCCCCCACCCGAAAGCAGTGTTGTGGTGTATTGAGTAAGTGCTTATGCGTAGATAAAAGTTTGATGTAGCAGGCGAAAATCTCGACAGTGGGAAAAATAATGGACAGTATTGTAATAATATCTCTATGACTAAGCACATTTTGTGTACAGCATGGTCTTTGATAGTATAAAAAAAAACCATATTGAATCTGGCTACTTGAGTATATCTGGCTACTTGTATGGTGAGTCGAATGGCCGAGCGGTTAGCAGGGGCGCCGCAAGCTATAGCCATAATATCGGTGCTGGTTCGAACGGCACGCTCGCCTATGGTTCTGGTGGTAGAACAAGTCTTCTCGGATAAGGACTATAAACCGTAGGCCCAGTGTATACAATGGCTCGTGTGCACTATAAAGAACCCTGTACATCCTTCGAGACGAGCAGGGGGATACCCCGGTTTACTGGAACAGACAGCCCCTGTGGTGGACGACGAGAGTTGCTGGTACCGGGTTACCGGGTAGCACAGACACGAAGGGACCCTTAGGGGCGAAGAAAGTCATTGATCGAGTCACTAGTCCACATTTCAAGCGCCCTGAGCATCTTACATTAGATGGATTTGTGCGCTATATAAAACTACACTATTATTACTATTATTATGATATTGAGTACAGGCCTAGAATGCATGTGTTGTAGCAATTGTATTCGGCTCCTTTTAGTACTGATTCTGAAGGATATACAAGTACAGTTCTCGGACTCGTTTACAACTTTTTACAATTTTAAAGTTAATTTTAATAAGAAAAAAAAAAACCCCTGTCAATTAACAGACAGTAAGTATACTTTGTTTTATTCTTTTGTATGACTCATTGGCTGGTAAAGTTCAAAAAACTTATAAAAATGTCCGTAAATCAGTGAAACTATTACTTGTCTTATTTAGCAGATTACTCAAATAACCAGATTCAACCTTGCTTTGTCTGCATAGGGATATTATAATTACAATACTATCCATTAATTTTCACTGTGCCGACTACACTGTCTCTGCCAAGGGATTTTAGCCTACTTTTATCCTCAAGCAGCTCGAACACTACTTTCGCGATTGCAACTGTAAGTCGGCATGCATATTCATGTTTATCGATTTCACCGAACTGACCTTAAATAGCGCCCTCTATATTTTTCCTTAACAGTATGCATTTTTTCGTAGGTAGTTTGGTAAAATCTAATGAATTATTCATAACTCTTCTTACAGACCATATTGTGCTCATGCGCTACTTTCAAGTCTGTGTCAATAATAATGTGTTATAATAAATAACCAGCCAAGTTTGAGGGACGAAAACCCAGAAAGCGGAGCTTGTGTAGTGCTGCCCTGAATAGACAGAAAAAAAAACCCCACAGGACAAACAAAAGACCAAAAACAAGACACACACATTGGCGTAGCTAGAAGG